ATGTGGAGTTGCATTGCAACCGGATGTCGTGATCCAGAGAACGTCAGAGGTTTAGGTAGGCCTCGACCCTACCAAGGTGGTAAGTGTGTCCACCACATACTGCCAATTGGTACTGAAGTGCTTGCAGTTCAGCGCAGTGATTAATGCAAAAATTAATCCGTTGTGCCAAATGCGGGTACCGTGGTTAAAGCCGTTGGCAGGAAATCACGTTAAGCCTACATCTCTTATGCTGACGATTGCTCGATAATGGTTATTTCACCGAGCTTTCTCGCTTCGTCACTGCACGGAGCCTAACCCTCTCCCCTAAGACAAAGTTCCCGGTTCTGAATTATGCAACGCCTGTGTGGTTATCGGGGACTAATAGGACGCAGTGGATGAAACTGCAGACTTGCCAAAACACGGCAGTCAGACAGCGACAGGATGCCTTTTGATGTTGCCGAAACATCACCTGCGCAACGAGGCCAATATGCTCCCGATTAAGGAGCATAACACAATGCTCTGCAAGCAATTCCTAGTAGGGTGTCATCGTGTTAGGTACCCGAACAGACATCTTCTTGCGGAAGAACCCTCGCGACGGCACGTCACAAGGCATCTTTATGAACTGACGGACGAAGTCCGGGGGTTCAAAAAACTACCTCTGTACCCAACAGACTACCGACAGTTATATAGACTCTCGATCTGTGTATGCCGTTCTGGGAACGCAACCACCAGACGTGGACGAGACAGAGCTTCGTCTGCCTCGGGAGACTCGGACCCCATAGCCCAACTTCGATCTGGCTACTGCAGCAGGTTGAACTCATACTTGAGCAGAATAAATGCAGATGTGCCAAATGAGTTCCCCGCATTCGGAGAGAAGCCCCATTACTCGCAGCATCTCTTCGCATACCCACTGAACCCCACCCTGCTAACGCCTCTGGCCTTATGGACAGACCCCATCGAGGCTACACGCTTCCAGGGTCTACCGCTAATAGAGCTTGACGACAACGATAGAACAACAACAGGAAACATGTTTTGGCATTAGCTGAGGCAAAAGACGACATTTCAGAGTTCTTAAAAATTTAACTTCAAAAGACGTACTGCGCAATAAAATTGATTTTAAAGAACAAAAAACTCAATCTGGATATAGTGAACAATCTGCATTTTATGAACTGGTCTTGCATTAATTAGTTCACTCGACCCAGATAGCACTGTATATTCTATTCGTTCTCGGATAAAAAGGATTGCTTTGTTTACATAAGCCTAAAAGTAGATAGTACCAACTATCAAAAATTTATGCGCATAATACCTTTTTGGGTACGTTTATCTACTTACGTCTAGTACGAAAATAACTTTTATGACGTCAGCGAAAGGATGGACACTGTCAAATCGACAAAGAGGGATTAGCACTCCGCGGAAGGCGCCACCATTGTTTCGCTGTATCATGTGGAAAGAATATTTTGCTGCGCAGTTGCATGTCGTGTCGCTAAGTGAGTTTTTTTACCTTCCTTCTATTAGCTAGAGATGTAACTATGTAATATTGATGCGCCTAAAAGATGCAGCGATTTCTATTCTCAAGTTACATACCTGATGACAGTGGGAATGGCAATTATAATAGGGAGGTTTTAGTTTTTTAAACTGTAATTTTATTGACTTTACAGTTAGTATCATTAAAGCGCTTACAATAAACATTTTGCTGCATATTTTTAGGCGCGATAACAATAACTACCACCGACGAGGTAGATACCTAGATTAGTTTTGCATATTCTATGTATTCTAAATAAGTGCTATAATATCTGGATAAAACAAGAAAGCGAACTGATGAAAACATGGTAATAATAACGCTGAGAAACGTATACTTTTGGGTCGTAGATTACTGATCTGCATATCATTTTCCAAAAACTGGTCACTTTCTCAAGATGTTTTTATTTTAAATTTGCATTTTGAATGAAAAAAATTGCAACTACATATAACAGGCGAATGAGTAATATTCGGTTTGTATGGGAAGAGCCACACCCCTTTCTCCAATAACCCCAATTTTTTTCATGACTATGCGATTGCTTTCGTATATCTCCATACCATGTTCAAGAACTCTATCATGAACACTTCCAGAGATTTGCAGTGTTAAATTTTCGGTTTGTATGGGAGGTGCCACGCCCCCTGAACCTAGCGGTATGAAATATACTTTACATCCGATTCTCATACAACCACAAACACTGTGACAATGAATATATTAGATATTTTATGTCTTTTTATTATAAAAACAAGATTGTATGTTCGTACTCGATACTTCAGAAATGTCCCGACTTTTGGCCACAGAAATCTGGTCACAGTATATATATATATATACAGGGTGTCCCAGAAGTAACGTGCCAAACTTTAGGGGAAGGTAGGTGGGCAGGTGAGCTCACTGATAAACAAAAAATTTTCAGGTAAAAGTGTCACCGTTTTTGAAATATTTACATTTTTTCGAATTTAAAAAAAATCGTGCCTTTTCATGTGTTTTCTTTAACTGCAACTACAAACCGGGCAATACTTAGTAAATTTTTTATGTAAAATACTTCCAGATAGTTGCCTCTCCATACTCAAATGCAATGTAGTTAAAATATATTAAGGAACCATCATAAAATTAGGACTATTTCTGGATTTTTATCTTTTTGATATTTTCTTCCCCAACTTTGACTATCTCGGATGAAAAAAAAATGTACTGAGCTATAACTTTACATTACATAAAAAAATTGCTCATTTAATAAAGATTTCAGAAAGGTGCCACACTTACTGTTTTGAATAGAAAATAAAAGTTATAGCCACTTGTGGGCAAAGGACTGAGACACACTAATACAAACTGTATTTAATAGATTTAAATTTAAGTTGCTCTTGTTGCCGACCAATGACATGCTAAATAGTACAAAGGTACATAATTACTTGCTTCTGACATTATTTTATGTTACTTACCGGAATTCGGACTAGAGTCTATAACAAGGGCTATATCTATCAATATTTTGTGTGAAGGATGGGTTCACGTGAAATAAGATATACATGAGTTGTTTGAAGAAAAATTTATTCATTTATTGATAAAATATGCTCAAATTGGCGACCTTCTACTCTAATACAAGCTCGGCACCTTTTAAGAAAAGACGCTTTTAGAGATCTTAAACTCAATTGGGCTATCTCAGCAGCAGCTCCATTTATTTGTTCCCGCAAATGCTCTTCGTTTTGAATTGTTTTTGAATAAATTTTGTCCTTAAGACAGCCCCAGTGGAAAAAATCTAATGGATTCAGGTCTGGTGATCGAGCGGGCCAGGTGATTGGCCCATATCGTCCAATCCATCGGCGAGGGTAAGTTTCGTCTAAATGAGCTCTTACCTCACGCCCGCAGTGAGCAGGGCACCCGTCATTTTGAAGCCATAGTCTTCGCCGCAGGTTTAAGGGTACATCTTCCAAAATAGTTGGAAGCCGTTCCTGAAGGAACTCTAAATAACTGTGAGAGTTGAGCGTTGGCGGCAGTTCCACAGGTCCCAATATCTGACAGTTAAAAATACCGCACCATAAATTTATTTTGTACCGGTACTGCGAACGATCTTCTCTCATTTCGTGAGGATTGTCTATCTGCCAACTGTGAAGGTTATGTAAATTAAAATAACCATCACGTTTGCATGATGATTCATCCCTCCAAATTATTTTATTAAAAAAGTTGGGGTCTGATTCATGCATTCGCAACATTTCACGGCAAAATCTAACCCTCGACAGGTAATCTCTTTCTTGTAGAGCCTGAACACGTTGAATGTGGTAGGGATGAAATCGTTGGTCTTTTAAAGCTTTGTGAAGTGTAGTTTTTGGTATTCCCGTCCGTCTTTCCATCTTTCTCACTGAAGTCGATGGACCTAGTTCCACTTCCTCTAACACAACTTCAACACGCCACGCCTTCCAGGTATGCGACCTTAAAAAAGTGAAAAATGTTAATTAACAAGCAAGCAAACAAGAAAGGTGTAAAAATCAGTTACCTTCATATATTTCTCTATGGGTCCGGGCGAATACTTCACGACCCGGATGTCGACGATTGGGGTATCGCTCTGCATAGAGTCTTTGAGCAGCTCTGGCATTACAGCAAGCTTCACCGTAAATTAGGTGAATATCCGCATATTCATGCGACGTATACTGCGTTCTCTGTCATAGTATTAATAACACAATGTTCGTCCAGTTTCACAAAAACCACTTTCACTAATTCCGGTAAGTAACATAAAATAATGTCAGGAGCAGGTAATAATGTACCTTTGTACTATTTAGCATGTCATTTGACGGTAACAAGAGCAAATTCAACTTAAATCTATTAAATACATTCTAGCGTGTCTCAGTCCTTTACCCACAAAAGCGGCTATAACTTTTTTTTCTATTCAAAACAGTAAGTGTGGCACCTTTCTGAAATCTTTATTAAATGAGCAATTTTTTTATGTAATGTAAAGTTATAGCTCAGTACATTTTTTTTTCACTCGAGGTAGTCAAAGTTGGGGAAGAAAATATCAAAAAGTTAAAAATCCAGAAATAGTCCTAATTTTATGATGGTTCCTTAATATTTTTTAACAACATTGCATTTGAGTATGGAGAGGCAACTATCTGGAAGTATTTTACATAAAAAATTTACTAAGTATTGCCCAGTTTGTAGTTGCAGTTAAAGAAAACACATGAAAAGGCACGATTTTTTTTAAATTCGAAAAAATGTAAATATTTCAAAAACGGTGACACTGTTACCTGAAAATTTTTTGTTTATCAGTGAGCTCACCCCCCCACCTACCTTCCCCTAAAGTTTGGCACGTTACTTCTGGGACACCCTGTATAACTGCGATCAACACTCTGCACTTGCCTTTGATAAATAGGATAGATTTGTAGATTTTTGGTAGGCCTAGGAGTTTATCTACATATTTTTTCACGTATCTGCCTAATTATATTTTAGTATACGTAACAAATTAAAATAAATCTACATACATGTTTAAAATTAAATTACAAACTTTTTATTTTTTTTTCAGAGGAAGCCGCTCGCAACGAAAAAGCCGCTCAGAAAAAGGATGGTGATGAAGAGGAATAAATTCTGTATAGTGCATAATTGAATATATAAGAGCAACACCATAATTTGGAACTGAATAGAGACTTACATGTGTAATAAGTATGTCTGTTTAGAGAAAGTAGGGACAACAAAGAGATATATTTAAAAGCACACACACACACTTTCACACAGACACATTTATTAAATATACATACATATTTTACTTTAATGGTTGAAATTATTAGTTTTAAAAGCTTATATCGAAATCTTTTGAGATTGTAAACAGCAATTCGAGCGATTGCTGTGCCGCAAGAAAAAATATTACAAATAAATAAATAAACTAGATTTTTAATTAACTTCTGTAAGCCAATAAAGCATAAATATGTTAATATAATTATTATTAAAAATTCAATTTAAATTAATTAAAACTCAACATTTCTATGTATGTAGCGCAAACCGGCTAAATATTGACAATTACTTAAGCAAATAAACAAATATCATTAAAAAAAACAGCAAACAATATTAATAGAGGGAGATGAATAATGAAAAAATATTTTAAGTTCACTTTTTTACATAAATCAAATTACAAAAGAATTACTGCTTAATGAAAATTTAAATGATTTTGCAATGACATTTATGGACACGGCTGACAAAAGTAAGAACAACCGCAACATATACCAATTATATACCAGAATTTAATAACTCTTGCAATACATAAAAGAGAAAAAGCTTGAAAGTGAAATTTTGCAAAAACAAATAGTGGTAAAATAAATCCAATCAATCAGCAACAATGACAAACTTTATTAAGCATATATGTAGAAATAAACAAACAAGCATGCATACAATGTACATATATAATAAAGTTAGCTACACATACATACATATACATATATTTAATTTAGTGAATGCTGTTAGCCAAAACAGCATGCCAAATAAAATTAAAAGTGGTAACAAAATTTAGTGCAAAGCATACATATAGCAGTACATAAATTGAAAATCTAAGTAAAATATGATTAGAGCGCTGCACATGCATACATATGTACATGAAAAGCTATGTAAATATACATACATATGTATGTATATACATATTTAGGTGCATATGTACAAATACACACATAAATAGTTTATAAATGTGTGCATATGTATCACTTATATAATTTTGAAGATGTACAATTGGCAATAAGTTAAAGTTGTGTGTAATTAAAATTTTAGAATTAATAAAAACAAATATTGTTACATTTAATGTTTACTTTATGAATTGTTTAACTAATCCATATGCATTGTTGAAAGTCTCAAATTTAATTATAAGCTAAAATTACAATAAAATTTGCAAAAATAACACATAAATTACTTTTATTATTTTTTATGTTGACCTTCTGTTCTTTCTCGTTATGTTTTTCAAAAGTTATTTAAACCAACAATAGTTACCATATTTGATGTGTAAATTGAATAAAGCGCTGATAGGTGTTGCGTACTTTAAAATGCATTTCAACAATTTTGATTGCATAAGTACAAAAGGGCCAATTTTAAATCTAGATTTCACTATTGAATTATATTGCAATAACTGGAAAAATTAAAATTTTTCGTTCGCCATACGAAAGAAACAAATTGTAAGGATCTATCCCTCTATTTCAAGCTCATGTTGAGAAGATGTCGGAGCCATAAAAAAATATTTTTTTTGCCTCTAAAACGGTCGATTTATTTAGCTTGCTTATTTCAACTGGGAGTTCGATTTTTACTTTTAATGTTTTTTGAGCTCCGGAGTCGATTTCACATAGTAGCTCAATCAGCTAACCAGATTTGTGCGATCATAAGAAATGGGCGTTTCCAGCGGAAGGTCTACCGTGAAAAAAAATAAAAGGCATGTATCTAAATTAATTATAGTCCAATTTGGGTGCATTTTATAATATACACTGCAACTTTTTGCGAAAAATGGCCTCGCTAGGTGGCGCCAGGGCCGAGATATTTTGAAAGGCCGTATTTATGCTCCGATTTGCTTCAAATTTGTCATAAACCTAAGTATAGCTGAAGTCTAAATAAATACTATATTCCATATAATTATTAATATTTTAGTTGTGTTAAAAGTTCGTTTAAAAACAATATTAACAAAACTTTTTCAATGCATTGAGTAACGTAACGTTATGTAACATCACGTCAGATAGTTCGCCAGACAGCTCTGCTGATAAGAAATAAATAAACGAGAAATTTTTACATTTAAAAACTTGCAAAATTAACCTTAAACACTTCAAATATTACTACAAAAAATGTATACACTAGTCTTTTCAAATTTGCTGAGTTTGCAATTTTGTAACCCAAGTCATAACCCACTTCGGTTTTGTAACGTCACGGCAGCAAATATGTTCTCTAATATATTGAAATCTCTACTAGCAATAGTTGTAATTTTTTTTACTGACTAAATGACTGCAGCTCTCAAGAAAAACGAAAAATTCATATAAAATTACGCACAAGAAATGGAAAAGAAAATTTCTTCTGCCAGAATTTTTTAAATCGGTTTGCAGCTCGCAAGAAAAAAATGCTAGAATATTTATTTCT